CAGACTGGTTTGGATTGGAAGGGACCTTAAAGCTCATCCAGTTCCAACCCCCCTGCCATCAGCAGGGACACCTTCCCCTAGCCCAGGTTGCTCAAAGCCTCATCCAGCCTGGCCTTCACCACTTCCAGGGAGGAGCACAGCCACAGCTTCTCTGGGCAACCTGGGACACTGTCTCACCACCCTCACACCAAAGAATTTCTTTCTCACATCTCATCTCCATCTCCCCTCTTCCAGTTTCAAGTCATCACCCCTTGTTCTGTCACTCCCTGCCCGTGGCCAAAGTCCCTACCCAGCCTTCCTGTAGCCCCTTCAAGTACTGGAAGCTGAGTTTCTCATCCACCAGCACCCCCAAATCCTTCTCCTAAGGGCTGTCCTCAATCCATTCTCCACCCAGCCTGGATTTGTGCTTGGGGTGGCCCTGACTCAGGGCAGGACCTTGCACTTGGCCTTGTTGAACTTCAAGAGGTTTCCACAGTCCCACCTCTCAAGCCTGTCAAGGTCCCTCTGGATGGCATCCCTTCCCGCCAGCGTGTTGATGGAACCACACAGCTTGGCATCGTCAGCAAACTTGCTGAGGGTGCACTCGATCCTACTGTCCATGTCACCGACAAAGATGTTAACAGCGCTGGTCCCAACACTGACCCCTGAGGGATGCCACTTGTCACCAGTCTCCACGTGGACATCGAGCCATTGACTGTAACTCTTTCAGCATGACCATCCAGCCAATTCCTTACCCACCGAGTGGTCCATCCATCCAGTCTGTGCATCTCCAACTCAGAGACAAGACTATCACGTGAGACAGTGTCAAATGCCTTGCACAAGTCCAGGTAGATTACATCAGTTGCTCTTTCCTTATCCACCAACGCTGTAACCCCACCACAGAAGACCACCAAATTGGTCAGGCATGATGTGCCCTTAGTGAAGCCATGTTGGTTGTCACCAGTCACCTCCTCACTTCCCATGAACCTTAGCATCGTTTCCAAGAGGATCTGCTCCGTGATCTTGCCAGGCACAGAAGTGAGACTGACTGTCTCTACTGGAGAAGCTACTAATGATGTTCTGTTTGGAAATCTGTGACCAAAGACTGTGAGACTGTGCTATTCAGATGAGTAAATGTGTAACATACTCAGCAATACCGAAGTAATTACCACAGTATGAGAAGCAACTGCTACGTACACATTGGTACTCAGACAAACTGAAAGAACCCTTCATGATCTCAATCTTCTTAAATTTCAGTTGAAAGCCAAACTAAACTTTACAATAGCTGAATTGAACAGATTCTTTAACACTTCTTGAATTCACTTAAGTGTCCAGAAGAGATGCCATTATTAAATAACCATTAAGTATAAAGTATTCAAAATAAAAGAAAATACTTGCATGTACAAGGCATTTACTTTTTCAAAACCATCTAAACAGTATTGGATTTTGATAGCATAGACATACTTACTGATCTGAAACAAAAATAAACTCTACCTGCCTTGTAGTGATTATTTACAGTCTTTTCCACCATTACCTTCCCTTGTCCTTCCCAGAATTTGCTCTCAAAAAGCAATGGAGTATGAGTATTCTCAACAGAACGATCCTGCTGAGAAAGTATAATACAGCAAACCTGCCATCTTCTTCTGAGTAAACTCATTTTGTACCCCAAGAATCAAAACTAATCCTACCAGGAATCTGGAAGGGCAAGATCAGAATCAGAGTTTATCTAAGAACTTAAGGTTAAAAGGCTGTTTTAACTGCAACTGGCTACCACGTGAGCAAAAACTTTGATGTTGCACACAACCAAGTCACAGGATCTCAGAATGGCAAGGGTTGGAAGGGACCTCTGGAGATCATCTAGTCCAACCCCCTGATGAATATATTCAATAGGACTGGACCAAGTATCGACCCTTGAGGAACAACAATAACCACAGGCCTCCAACTAAATGCTGCACCACTGATTAAAACCCTCTGAGCTCTGCCATCGAGCCAGTTCTTCACCCATCTCGCTGTCCCCTCATCTAACCCACACTTCCTAAGCTCACCTATGAGGCTGCTATGGCAGACAGTGTCAAAAGCCTTGCTGAAAAAAGGCAGACAATATCCACTGCTCTCCCCTCATCCACCCAGCCAGTCATGCCACCATAGAAGGCTATCAAATTGGTCTGACATGATTTCCACCTAGTGAATCCATGTTGACTACTCCCAATAACCTTCTTTTCCTCTACATGTTTAGAGATAGCCTCCAGAATGAACTGTTCCATCACCTTTCCAGGGACGGAAGTCAGGCTGACTGGCCTGTAGTTTCCTGGGTCCTCCTTCCTGCCCTTTTTGAAGCCTGGAGTGACACCGGCTTTTCTCCAGTCCTTGGGCACCTCTCCCATCCTCCATGACCTCTCAAAGACGATGGAGAGTAATTCTGCAATAACATCCACCAGCTTCCTCAGCACTCAAGGGTGCATGTCATCAGGGCCCATAGATTTGTGGGTGTTGATTTTGGCCAAATGGTCCTTAACCCGATCCTCTTCGACCAAGGGGAAGTCTTCCTCTCTCCAGACTTCCTCTCCTACCTCCAGGGCTTGGGACTCCTGAGGGCCGGCAGTAAAGACTGAAGCAAAGAAGGCATTCAGCAACTATGCCTTCTCTGCATCCTCCATCACCCAGCAGAGGTCTGAACTTTCATTTATTCTACAAACGTTCTATAGGCCATAAGATGTCAGGAAGCACATTCACATAAAGTTTCAGCTGAAACCTGCTGAAAATCTAATTGTTATTCTGAATCTTCTGTTCAGAACAACCCCTGGCCCATCACCAGAAGCTGATCACAATATTAACTCTTCTTTTAACAGCAACTACAAGGTGAAGATAATCAGTATTTGAGATTAGGTATGGTAATTCCATAGGTTTTATTTGGAAGATTGTTAGTTTTTCAGTTTGTCACACTAAAAAAAAAAATACAGTGACCAAATAATATTCTTTAGAATGTGATATTCTGGATACACTGTCTTCAATACAGATCAGTGAAAGACTGATCAAGGAATGCCACATACAAGCAAGCATAAACAAACACATGTATACACACACACAAATATAGAAACATAGAAAAGTTCAGGTTGGAAAAGACCTTAAAGGTTACTGAGTCCAACCATTAACCCAACACTGCCAAGTCCATCACTAAACCATGTCCCTCAGCACCACTTCTACACCTTCAGGCACAGTGACTCCACCACTTCCCTGGGCAGTCTGTTTCAGTGTTTGACAACCCTTTCAGTGAATAAATTGTTCCTAATATCCAATCTGAACCTCCCCTGGCACAACTTGAGGCCATTTCCTCTCGTCCTGTCGCTTGTTACTTGGGAGAAGAGACCAACCTCCACCCGGCTGCAACCTCCTTTCAGGTAGTTGTAGAGAGTAATAAGGTCTCTCCAAACCTCCTTTTTTTCCAGGCTAAACAGCACACACATAAAATCAAAATAAATTGAAGATGTGGGTTTGTTTCATTGTTAAGTTGCATAAAATCTAGAGAAATCTGCTCTGTAGGTTTCAACATTATAGCTACTCGGACTCCTCAGTTCCTGGAGCAGTCACAAAGAAAACTGTGCACAACGGCTGTAGGAAGTAACAAAGTTTCTGTTACTTACATTTTGCAAAACAATAATTTAATTCAGTAGCAAGTCGGGAGACAACTGGTATTCTTACCAGAATCACAGAATATTAGGGATTGGAAGGGACCTCGAAAGATCATCTAGTCCAATCCCCCTGCCGGAGCAGGAACACCTAAACAAGATTACACAGGAAGGCATCCAGGCGGGTCTTGAATACTTTTTTAAAAACTCATTTTTTTAAAGAATGTAATTGCTTTAGAGCATTACCATTAAATAACCTTAAGAACACTAAAGAGTGCATCGATAATGATTAGTCAGACTGTGAAAGAACTAACTCTGAATCCCATTCCTTCCACGCTACCAGAGCACACAGATACACATCACATGCTAAAGGCATTATTATGCTGTAACACAACTCTGTTCATTAGAAGCACTGCAAAATGAAGACCCAGTGAGCTACTGTGTAAGTGCTCTTCTGAAGAACTAGAGTTCTAAAAGTTTCAAGATGCCAATATAAAATGCATGAAATTTGCATCAAGAAGCTTGAGAATGACATCATGACATGTGATATACAATGCATTACAAGCCTAAAAAGAAACACCGATTACAAGTATGCATAAATTTGGGCTCTTCAGTCACCACACAAACCAACATGTCCACAAAAATAATTCAATTTTGGACAATTTGAAAAAGTCTGAATTCTAACTATATTGATAATTTATACATGGATGCAAAGTAAGTAAATGACAAGAGGTTGCAATGTCAAAACATTTACTCAATATCTAAAGTAATATTTTCCCCTATGGGTGCATCTTTCATTAGCAGGCATCCTCAGTAGTACAAAACACATTATGTTTTGTGTTTTTAATAATATATTTCAGCATCTTACTGTATTACATTAAAAAATAAAGTATGTTTAATAAAATAACGCAAGAATAGTAGACTATTTCCTTTAAGAGCTGTTAATCTTACCTGAAAGTCCCATAAGAGGGGTATGGCTTCTGCAAACCGATCGACTAGAAGAGAGGGGTGTTTTTCCTACACATGTGCTGTTCAGGCCTCGCGCAGAAGAACTCGTGAGATTCAATGCGCTACCATTTTCTATACAAGAGCTTTTGTCCCCAAAATACGATTCTGAGGGAGGGGAGAAAAAAAGCAACTTGAAAACAGACACGTTAAATTGTGTATCATTTAACTGAAAAAAATAAATAAATCAAGTTTTATTCAGAAAGTAATATATAAATATACAGCTTAGAAAACTTTCTTTTTCTTACTAGAAATAGAGATATCCAAGCAATAACCTTTAATGTCATTCTATAAAAGCTCTCCAAAGTATAAAATGAAAAAACAAAAAACAAAAAAACAACAAAAACCCCAGCCTGTTTTGAAAACAAGCTTATATCGATACGGTTATTTGCCACAATGCCAATAAAAATCTTTGTTTACATTGTTAGACTGAAATAATACAACAGAAGTCAGTTTACAATGCATAATTTCATTCTAATGAATGGCTATGAGTCAGCTCTATCTCATGTTTGCCTATTAGTTTTGAAATTTTTATCTGAAAATGCTTATGTTTATTAATTTTTTTTTCTAAAGCTGAGCATTCTTTTTTAAAAAAGGACAACAAAAGAAAACGAAGAACCATGCTCAAAAATTCCTCCGCTTGAGAATTTATGGGGTTCAACTCTCAGAAATCATACAATAACGGGGGATGTGTTTGTTATCTGCAGTTTCTTTTACACGTTATCTTAAGATTTATCTACATTTTTAAATCCTGCAAAATCTCATTTTCTCAGATCATTCTTTAGTTTCAATAAATTATTTAAAATATTTTACTTATTTTCAGTTCTCTTGACATGACTAAAAAACCATTATATCCTTAATCTAGCGTGGATAGTTTTTTTTAAGATAAAAAGTTAATGAAAATATATACAGAGATTTTCCACTTAAAACTTACAAAATTCAAGGTATTAAGAGACATGCAAACCAACGTTTCTGTTCTTTCTGTTCCATTAAAAATTGACCCACAAGACAAAATACTTCAGTATTGCTCTCAGATGACCTATTAACTGCATGCCATTTTCTCATGGTTGCTACAAAAATATTTACAGTACTGGGTTTTTTTGAGGAGTTTTTGTTTGTTTTGTTGTTTTTTTTAATCTTACAAAACTGACAGATAGAAAAAAATATTAGTTCAGACTGTAACTTTTTTTTAGAGTGGAGAAATCAGCATTGCAATACATACAGATGATTTTTAAAAATGGGATTCATTTAAGATTTTGGCACAGGTTCACTCAGAAGTTTGACAGAAGAGACTCTGATATTATTTTAGAATGTACAGAATCTGACATAACAGAGAAAAACATAAAGACCAGCTGAACCAAACCATCTACAGAAGTTTTAAAAAACATTTAACAAATAAATTATGCCCTATTTAAATTAGCACTCTAGGTTTTGTTTGTTTGTTGTTTGGGGTTTTTTTTAGGATTCATGACTAATAATGTACATTACCCAAAACTCAGTTACCTTCTTTCCAATTTATACCTAACAGAGATGTATGTAGTTCAGAATGCGTTTAGTGAAGTGTTAGAAGAATTTCCAATTTTTTAAATAGATTTTCTGCTGAAAAAAAAAAAAAACAAAACCTTTTGAACCTTTTTTTTTTTTCTGCCTGCCAAGACACAGACTTTGAGAGTAAGACCAAGTCTTTTGAACTGTTGATGCACCCATGTTCGGTGTTGAGGGGCCTCATCCTCATGGGGAGCCAGGAGACTGGAGTTAACAGCAGCTTTATGTAAATGAATGCAAAGAGCAGTGTTGCATTGTAGGACAACAAAACTCTGACAGCGCATCAAGGATAACAGCACTTAGCACTATTTCACAGGCCAGGCCAAAACAAACAAACTCACCCAACCAAAACAAAACCCACAAACACAAAAAACCTAAGATAAAACCAAAACCAGTAAACCAAATACTGTGTTACAATTCAAACCAGTTTACTGACCCCCAGCAGGGAACTCGGATACTGCGATCTAAAAGAGCTTACATAAAGAAAAGAAAAAAATATTTATTTAAAGAAGTGCGAGGTGTGACTACCATTGTTCTGATGGGCTGAAGAAAGAAAGAAAAAGAAAGAGGTCGCTAAGACGACGAGCTGCC